ATGATGTAAGAAAATAAAAACAAAATAAAAATTGATACTATTCCTCAATAATCATATACCTTTAAAGTTGTTCAACGGTCATGTAGTAAATGGAATTCCTTCTCAAAAAAATAAAAATAAAAGATTTTCTTACCAGTTGCTATCGAGAATGGATTACAGGCAAGCAAGGAGAGAAACAAGGATATCAGTTTGGAAGCTACTATACCCACCCAGGTAAGAGAGGATAAATGTCAACCAGGATGTATCAGTAGGATCAAGCATATAATGTTCATGTAGAGCTGACAGGAATTGCTGATGGATTAGACAGGTATTAGAATGGAATTACACAGGATTAGAAAAGAAAGAGAATATTCAAGTATGATTCTAAAGTTACTGACCTTAGCAAACAGGTAACAGGTTAATGCCAATTCCTTAGATGGGACAGATCAGAGTAAGAATAGGTTGAGGAGAATAGGAAGTCAAGTTGTGTTTTGTACATTTTAATTGGAGATACCCATAAGTAATCCGAGAGGAATTGTTGAGCAGGGAGTTTGAGATGGAAAATGAGGGGATATAACTGTCCTACATATATAAATTTGTAAATTATCCTCTGATATGAAATTTATTTAAGGCTGTGGGATTGAATAAGATCATATAGGAAAAGAACATAGAGAAGTGGACTGAGAAAAAACAACAAAAAATAAAAAATCTCAGGGACTATCAGGCATATAGAATTGGGAAGGCAAACCAGCAGAGGAAACAGAAATGGAATGTCTAGTGTGGTAAGGAGAGTTTGGTGTCCTGAAAGCAAATGAAAAAAATGTTTTTAGAAGTAGGTATTAGGGCCTCCTGGTGGCGCAGCGGGTTTAGCGCAGCACTGTGAAGCTGTCCGCAGCCTCTGCAGCGTGGGTTCGATTCCCGGCTGGCCAGGGAGATATCCACATGGTGCAGCAGACCTCCCCTTGGCGTCCGCTGCTCCCCTCAGCAGTGCTTTCAGTCTGTCTGCCTGTTCTGCTCCTCGCTCTGCCTCTTGTGAATACTCTCACTCTCCAGCACCTCTGGCCTGTACCCCAGCTATTGTATAAATAAAAAAAAAAATCTTAAAAAAAGTGTTAGCTTTGTTGTGTTTTGCACTATTATTATTATTATTTTACACGGATGTCGTATTTGGTTCCCCTATATTCCTGTTGCAAGTGAAACCATTTGATATTTTTTTCTTTTTCCTTCTGGCTTATTTCACTGAGCATAATTCCTTCTAGCTCCATCCACGTTGCTGCAAATGGCATGAGTTTATCTTTTTTGATTGCTGAATAGTATTCCATTGTGTATATATATATATATATATATATATATATATCACATCTTCTTGATCCAGTCATCTACTTTTGGGCAATTGGGTTGTTTCCAAGTTTTACCTATTGTAAATAGTGTTGCAATAAACATAGGTGTACAGGTGCTCTTTTGAATTACCTTTTTTTTTAATATTTATTTATTTATTTTTATAAAAGAACCGGTGTACAGGTCAGATGCGCGGGAGGGTGAGAGGATTCACCAAAGACAGAGCAGGAAACAGAACAGGCAGACTGACGAGATACACTGCTGAGGGGAGCAGCAGGCGTGGCAGGAGAGGTCTGGCTCGCCATGTGGGACCCTCTCTGGCCAGCTGGGATCGAACTGGCACTGCAGAGGCTGCAAACAGCTTCACAGCATGGCGCTCAACCACCTGCGCCACCAGGGGAGGCCCTGAATTACTGTTTTTGTGTCCTTTGGGTAGATCCCTAGAGGGAGAGGGGTGAAAGGGAGGGAGGGAGGGAGGAGCACAGGGGACTGTGGTGATGGTGCACAGGTGTCTTGGGGAAGGAAATTCTATGGGGACTCAATCTGAGGGGGAAGCAAATATTGCCTAAAAATGTAAAAAAAAATGACAAATGTTAAAATAAAAAATAAAAATAAATAAAAAAAGAAGTAGGTGTTAGTCAATTATGTCAAATGCTGCTCACAAGCTGAGCATGAAAATAATGGATCAGATATTTGATTTGGCCATATGGAGATTATTAGTACCCTTAACAAAAATGGTATCAGTGAACTAGAGGGAAAAGAGCCCATTTAGAAAGGCTGCAATCCCCATACTAAGCATTTTTTTGACTATCATTTATTTGATGTTTTGAGATTGACTATCATTTATTTGATGTTTTGAGATACAAATACGTTGACAAATGATTACCACAAACAAGCTAGTTGACATACCCATCATCTAACATAGTTACCATTTTTTGTGTGTGTGGTGAGAACTTTTAGTATCTACTGTCTTTGCAAACTTCAAGTAACAGTGGTTTTATTAACTCTGGTCATCATGCTATATATGCCTTATATATCCATAACTTATTCATCCTGCATAACTGAATCTTTTGATGAACACCTTCCTGATCCCCCCTCTCCACAGTGCCTGATAGTCACTATTCTCACTCTGCATCTATGAGGTTGACTTTCATAATTTTATATAATGCAGTTTTGTTTTTCTGTCTCTGGTTTATTTCACTTGGCACAGGTTTTGTTTATTTTTTTAATATTTTATTTATTTATTTTTTCATAGAACTGGGGTATAGGACAGAGGGGCAGGGGGTGAGAAGATTCACCAGAGACAGAGTAGGGAGCAGAATAGGCAGATCTCCTGGAATACACTGCTAGGGGGGAGAAGTGGGTGAGACAAGTAAGGTCTGCTGCACCTTATGTGGATTAGCTCCCTGGCTAGGGATCGAACTCAGGCCGTAGTGGTGATAGCGCTGAGACTTAACCCCTAGGCCACCCAGGAGGCTCCTCATTTGACAAAGGTTTTACAGGTGCATCCATGTTGTCACAAATGATAGCATTTCCTTCGGTTTAAGTTTGAATGATACTCCATATATGTGTGTATCCCACAATCTCTTTATCCATTCATCTGCCAATGGGACTTGGGAATTTCCATATCCTGAAAATTTGAATAATGCTGCTACAAATATGAAAATGCAAATATTTTTTGGAGATATTGATTTTGTATTTTTGGCTATATACCCAGAAATAGAATTACTAGATCATATGGTAATTCTATTTTTAATTTTTGAGGAACTTCCATGCCTTTTGTTTTTCATAATAGTTGTACCAATTTATACTACCAACAATGTGTACATGTTCCCTTCCCTCCACATCCTCAACAAAACTTGCTACCTTTTGACTTTTTAGTATTAGCCATCCTAATAAGTGTAATGTGATATCCAACTGTGTTTTTGATTTCCCTTTCACTGATGATATTGAGTATTTTTCAAATTCCTCTATGTATTGATTCATTAGGTGATTTTCTATAAAGCTCTTACGTTTTCTTTACACACATTCAAGCTTTTTTATTTTTGTCTTCTGACTGTGTAATTTCAATTGATTCGTCTCTGAGCTCACAGATTCTTCTGATTTTTGGAATTTGATAAGCTACATATTATTATTATTTTTTTTTTAGTGTGGTCATTGTTCTTCAGCTCCAGAATTTCTGTTTGACTCACTTTTATGGTTTCTATTACCTTCTTGAAACTTGCATGTATTATTTTCTTGATTTTGTTAAGTTGTCTGGGTTCTCTGGTAGCTTACTGAGTATCTTTAAGACATTTATTTTTAATTGTCAGAGTTCATAGCTCTCCATTTCATTGTGATCGCCTATTTAAAGAAGTGGGTAGATTTTCCATTCTTTATATTATAGCTTTGCCAAGGAAAACCCTTTACCAGTCAGCATTAACAGAGATTCTGGGCAAGCCAGCAGGAAGGCCGCAAGGTAGACTGACTGCTGACTTCTTTGGGTATGTTGGTCTGGTTTCTGGGTCAGCTAGCAGACAAACCTACAGGCTGGACCTGCAGGCTGAGCTGAGAGTCTCAAGTCTAGGAGGCTGGCCTGACACTGAGGTATATCTGGAGGCTGGCTCTGTAGGAGGTGGCCTGGTACTGTGGTGGGCATGGATTCTGGGTTTGTGGAGGCTGGCCTAGAGCTTAGGTCAATAGGGGGCAGATGGGCAATGAGGTTAACTGGGTGAGTTTTGTAGTAGTATCCAAAGTAAAGTCTTGTTCCCCCATGTGGAGGGTACCTCTCTGTACTGTGCTGAGTAAGCTTGGGGGAAGAGTGACATGGGTAATATGAAGCTGTCTTTCCTACCCTCTGCAATGCATTTTTCCTTATCTATGCTCTATCCAAGTGCTATAATCTCTCAACTGGATTTCTTAGCTCTCATATATGGATTTTCATGCATATATGGTTATTCAAATTGGTGTTAATCTAAATGAACAAATACTGGAAACTTTTTTTCATTTTATATACGTTTTACATCATGTTTCACTTTTGTACAATGCATTTATTTCCATCTTGGTTATACTCCCCGTAAAATTCCCACCACCCTTGTTTTGATCCTACTCCACCCCCTCCCCCCGTAGTATGTCTCTGGTTTATAGTTTTGCATGTCGATTTTGATTTTTACTTTTATTATAATTAGTTTTTTTTTTCCTGATCCTTTATTTGGGTCTTCTACATTCCTGCTATGAGTGAGACCATCCGGTATTTTTCTTTTTCTTTCTGGCTTATTTCACTGAGCATGATCCTTTCCAGCTCCATCCATGTTGCTGCAAATGGAAACTCTTATTCAGGTATCTTGCTAACATCACCCCTCTATGTTAGCTGAATTTGAATTTAAAATCTTAGAACATTCAGAAATCACATTGCCCACCCATTTTAATGTACTGGGTTACAGATGTACGAACATCTTTGGATCATCCACTGGCTTTGTGGACCATGGTAACCTGCTTTAAAGGTTTATCCCTCTCCTATCCACTGTCAAAAGACTGATTTGCTCTCTGGGCACAAACTTTACAAACATTACTTTTCCTGGCTAGGAGTCGGGAAAACTGTACCTTTATATGGAGAGAAATGGTTATGCCTCTCCTTCTGCCTTGCAATACCCTCTTTTTGTCTAGTTGGTGTTAAGAAGTTAAGGATGAACCTCAGCACTCACCTTCATTTTCATCCATGCAAGAAGTATAGAAAACTGTCCGTTCCCGCAGCAAACGCTTTGAAATAGTGATTGGTTTGTGCCTTCTTGCTGTCACTCGAGGTGGAGGTACTGGGGGTGCAGCATTTTCCTCGGGTGGACCTGAATAGATCTGGAGGGGGGATATTTACAGGAGATAATTAGAAAGATGAAGTTTTGGTCTCCTTAATGCTACCTATCAGTTGATGTCTGCCAGCATTATATTCAGAGTCTACCATAAGGATTCTAGTATCACAAAGGAATTGGGGGGATTTTCGTAATCACTTTAGCTACTAGCAAGTGTTTAGAAATCTCATACCATGTTTGAGGCACAGTACCTGGCACTTCTCAGGGTAGAAGAAAGGATGTAGATAAAAACTGTAGCATCTACCCTGAATTTTCCACTTACTGCTTGGGATACCTTAGGCAAGTCACTTCCCATTGCTGAGCCTTAGATTCCTCATTTATAATGTAGGGAAAGCACCATCTACCTCACAAGGTATGGTGAGAATCAAATTAAAAGGGCAGTCAAGGTACTTTGTATGGGTACCTACATACACTTAATATTCTGAAAGGATACCAAAGATACTGGTTACATTGTTTACCTCAAGATAGGAATAATAAGTAACTGAGGAAAGGATAAAGGAAAACTTTTTCACTCCTGTATCATTTGTTATATTAAAATTACATGCCATATATGTATTACTTATTCAAAAAAGAAGAGAGAAAAGATTGTGCTTTGGAAGATAAAAGTGCTAGAGAAATGAGGGAGGAACTGTTATTAGATTTTTTATGCAGTGCCATATATGTAGTTGAGAATCTTCTGTCTCTGGAGAGAATGACCTTTTGGCTGGAGTGTACTCGGTTTGGGAGGACACGCATATGTGGTGAGGAAGTAAAGGCACCACTGTTCAGTGCCATAGTGAATTCAGTCCTGTTAATTAGTGTAAAGAGAAATGTCAGAGCCCAAAAATCTATCTGGAAAGAGTCAACATAGGCTGCATGTTGGAAACACAAGGCAAGCATGTGTAAAAGTTGGATAATGTCAGAACAATTGAAGAAAAATCAAAAGGCAGTACTTTTCTCAATGTCTCATGACATAGAGAAGGGAGAATATGACATAACAATTAGATGAGGTTTTAGGCCATTAGAATTTTAGGTCATATTTCTGATTCTACTACCATTAATAATAATCTCTATAGCCACCATTTTTCAAGAATCTTTTTAGTCATTGTAATTGCAAATATTCTTTGCTCTTCATCACACACACCAGTCTTTGCACCAAGTTTTTCTGCTATGGGGAGTACTCTTTTTTCCAGATACCCATATAGCTTACTTGCTCAAATTTAGCTGGATCATGATCAAATAAACTATTCTCAAGAAGCACTGAGTGCACCCACCACCAAAGCACCCATAGTCCTGCACCATAGTCCATTGTGCTCTCTCCCTTATCTGTTTTCACCCCTTCTCTTCTGGATGCATCAGTCCTATAGTCAGCTTTCAAGGGTTAGTTTTAAAGTGTGTCCTAGTATTGCTTATCTTATTTTTGTAAAGAAAAAACAACTTAGTTTATTTGTTTTTCTGCTTATGTTTCATTTATTTCTTCTCTGATCCTTTTTTTTTCCTTCTGCAAACTTTAGGCTTTGTTCTCCATTTTATAGTCTCACGTGGTATAAAATTAGGTTGTGTATTTGTGGTCTTTCTTTATTCTCAATTCAGGCATTTATCACTATAAAGATTGATTTTGCTGCATCCCAGAAGTTTTGATATGTTCTTTTTCCATTGTCATTTGTTTCAAGTTATTTTTTTTTAAATTTTCCATTTGATTTCTTCCTTGATCCATTAGTTTTTCAGGAGTGTAACATTTACTTATCATATATTTGTGAATTTATAATTTTCTTCCTATTTTTTACTTCTAGTGTCATACTATTGTGGTAAGGAAAAATACATGGATGATTTAAATCTTACATTAGCTAATGCTTGTTTTGTGAACTAATACATTAGGGTGCTTGAGAACATTCTACATGCACTTGAGAAGAATGTGTAATCTGCTGCGCCTGAGTACAATGTTTAATATATGCCTATTATGTTCATTTGATCTAAGGTATAGTTCAAGGCTAATGTTTCATTACTAATTTTCTGTCTAGATGACATATGTAATATTGAAAGTGAAGCTCCATACTATTATTTTATTTTTGTATATTTCTACCTTTATATTTGTCAATGTTAATATACTTAGGTGCTCCAAAGTTAGGTTCATATATATTTACAGTACTCTATCTTCTCGGTGAATAGACCACTCTTCATCATTAATTAATGATGATCTTTGTCTCTTTTTTACAGTCCTTGGCTTAAAGTCTATTTTTTTTCTCATGTAAGAACAGCTATCACTACTCTTTTGGGTTTCCATTTGCATGGAATGACTTTTTCCATCCCTTCACATTCAGCTTATTAGTCTTTAAAGTTGAAGTGAGACTCTTTTTAGGCAGCTCATTATTAGATTTTGTTTTCCATTGATTCAGCTACTCAATGTATTTTGACTGAAGATTTAATCCATTTACATTTAAAGTTGTGGGTGTGCTAATACAAAGTGGCCTCTTTGGCCACCATTTTTTGTTACCTGCAGTTCTGCATTCCTATACAAGGTCAGAACCGTCTGGCCATTCAGTCATAGGAACCAAACCTCATATGGTGCCTTTCAAATCAACCAAGGGCAGAAAGCTTGATCACTCTGGGAAGGCTATGCATCAGGATGTATGACCAGGAACACCCAGGGGCCAAGGACGAATGTATGACAAGGGACCACAGAAGCTCATCAGTGGAAAGCCTTGTTGATAAGATTGAAACCATGGCTAGGACTTGATATTAATTACAATACCAAGTCATCAAGTAGATGAGAAGTGCCTGAAGGGCAGACTCACAAGCTCTGATACTCTAGATGACAGACCACATTTTCTAGTTTCACTCTTCCCTTTTCTTTTTGTCCTCCATCCCCTCACAACTGACGCTGTATCATTATTCTATCAATAAAAAGGCCAAGACGGGCCTCTCTGTGGCACAAAGGGTTAAGTCTCAGCACTATGAAGCTTTCTGGGCCACGGCAACACGAGTTCAATCCCCAGCCAGGGAGGTGACCCACATGGTGCAGCAGACCTCTCCTGTCTTGCCTGCTGCTCCTCTCAGCAGTGTGTTTCAGACCCACCTATTCTTCTTCCGACTCTGTCTCTGGTGAACCCTCTCACCCCCACACACCTCTGGCCTTTACCCCAGCTCTTGTATGCATAAATAAATAAATCTTAAAAAAAAGGCCAAGATCTTGCTCTTCAGTAGCATCCTGCATCCTACAGCTTGCTACATGACTCCCATTTGTCAGTATGGTGTTGTCAACACAACATAAAGTAATTATTAATAGGTAAGGATTTACTAACGATGACTTATAAATGTTTTCTGGATGTTTTGTAATTTCCTAGTCCCTTTCTTGTTCTCTTGTGTCTTTCTTCTTGGATATTGGTCATTTTCTATAATGGCATGTTTTGATTCCCTTTCCTTTTCTTATATGTATTAACTGGGGGCTTTGCTTTGTGGTTATCAAAAGGCTTGCATAAATAAAAATATAGATAAGAGTCTCTTGAAAGTTGATAATAATTTATCTTTACTCACCTATAAAAATTCTACCATTTTGTACCTCATCCCATGTTTTATATTTTTGACATCATAACTTGCCTCTTCTTTAAATTGTGTATGAATTAACAAATTGTAGCTAGTTATTTTCAATAATTTCATCCTTTAATCTTTATACTGGAGTTATACCCCAATATATTACAGTATTACTGTATTCTGATAATGACTATACACTTCCTTTGTCAGTAGATTTTATATTTTCATATTACTAATTTTATTTCTACATTGTCTTCCTCCACCAAATGACCCATGTTCATTCCCCAACTGTCTTCTGCCCCAATTCCCTCCACTCCTTGCCCCATTCCCTCTGGTAACCATTATCTTGTTTTAGCTGAGTTAAATTTTTTAATTCTTCTATTTGCATGTAATTGTTTTTTTGTGTATTTATATTCCACAGATGAGTGAAATTATCTGAAAACTGTTTTTCCTTTCTGACTGATTTCACTCACTCAACATAATAACCTCAAGGTCCATCCATTTTGTCCCAAATGTCACCATCTCATCATCTCATCTTTTCTTCACAGCTATGTAATATTCCATTCAATATGTGCTCCACAATTTCTATATCCATTCATCTGTTGAAGGGAACCTGGGTTGGTTCCATGATCTGGCAATTGTAAACAGTACTGCCATGTGCATAGGTGTAGAAAGATATTTTTTGTATTAGATTTTTCATATTATTTGGATAAATACCAAATAGTGGTATTACTGAGTCAAATGGAATTTCCATTTACATTTTGCTGAGAAATCTTTATACAGTTTTCCAAAAGCTGTACCAGCTTGCATTCCCACCAACAGTGGATGAGAGTTCCTTATTCATTGCAACCTCACCAACATTTGTTAATTCCATTCTTTTTTCATATGGGCCATTCTCACAGAGGTGAGGTGGTATTCTCAGTGTGGTTTTAATTTGTGTTTCTCTTATAATAAATGGTGTTGAACATGTTTTCATAAGTACATTGGCTCTCAGAATGTCTTCTTTAGAGAAGGTCTACTGAGGTCCTTTGCCCATTTTTAATTGGGACATTTGTTTCTTTGTTGTTGGATTGGGTAAGTACTTTGTAAATTTTGAATATTAACCCCTTATGACATGTATGGTATGAAAATATATTTTCCCATTCTGTAAAATTGCCGATTTGTTTCTGTGATGGTACAAAAGCTTTTAAGTTTGATATAGTCTCATTTGTTTATTTCTGCTTTTGTTTCCCTTACTATTTGGGTAGTATTCCCAAATACATCTTTGTGGTAGATGTTCTGTAGTATGTTTCCTATATTTTCTTCCATGTACTTTTTGGTTTCAGTTCCTATGTCAAAAATTTTAATCCATTTTGAGTGAATTTTCATGTGTAATGTGAACTATGGTTCTTAATTTTTTTTTTTTTTTTTGCATATAGCTATTCATGTTTCCTAGCACCATTTTTTAAAAAGGCTTTATTTTCTCCCCTGTGTGGG